CCCCACCCCACTCCTCTACCCTCCTCCCACCTGCCCCCTCCCCAGGCTTTCACCGCATTACTGTCGGTGTCCATGGGGTATGCGCATATGGATGTAAATTCTCTGGTTAATCTCTCCAGCCCCCCTTTCCTTCTGCTATATGTCAGTCTGTTGTATGCTTCAATGTCTCTGGGTCTATTTTGCGCTTTAATTTCTACCCCAATCCAATCTATGGAGGCTGGACTTATTACCACATTTTGAAGGGTGAAATCATCAATTAACGTATAAACAGGACAGCAAGGAGGACGTCTGGTTCACATTCTTCCCTTTTGGGTATCAGAATGGACATCTACTCCACGAGTGTAAAACAGGGGTAATTACAGGTTCTTATCAATACACAAGAAGACTGCAAAGAGCTTACAATTTCCTTCAGAGATTCCCATTGGGAAACTGCAGAGAGTTAGATTGTATACAAAAGGGCTTCGAGTGAAGAGACTTCAGTTATTTTAAGTGTTACTAAGAAGCCCTGACTGCCTTCTATAGTATTTGTGTTCATGGGCAGATCAAACTCTAAGAACTGGGACAAAATCCTACAGCATAATAAAATCAGTGAAAATATAAGCTGAGTCACTCACGAAACTTTAGACGCAAACCATATTTTATATTTAGAATCTATGTCCTTAAAAGTGGTTTCATACTCAAGTTGCTCACAAAGAGCCAGAACAGCAAGCCAGAAACTGCAGACCACAAATGGTACGTTTTCGGCAGCAAACTGTTTACTCTGCGATCATCTGTGAGCAGTGACCACCATGGGAGGAAACCAGCACCCCTGCGGCCACCCTGCAGATCAGATTCGGTCTCAACCTTTTCTCCTTGGGGAAACCGTAAGAGCAGAACCCCACAAGCAGAGACTGAGCGTCAGTGCGGGGAACACAGTCCCTGTGGTCCGAGCGTAGGAGCGCCAATGTTCAAAGTGCTTAGAAGGTGCCTCGTGTCTAACTTAGTTTTGCACAGAAAAAAGACTGTGAACAAGCAACGTGCAACTTAAAAACTCCGAACGGCTAACCTTCTCTTTCTTCCTTTCAATAACAAAAGGGAAAAAAAATCAGAGGAAGGATGTACTTACTTGTTTTTTCTGTTTTTGGCTCCTCATTATCTATAAAAAAAAAAAAGTCCAAGTCAGATTCAGATGACAGCTAAGAGAAAACACAGGCCGATGGGGAAATAGGTAAAATGTTTGCCTCTCGCCAACAGCAACCATTTCCTGCCTTTCTTCTTCAGAGCATCCTGTTTTGCCACTTTGCTTGCCAACCAGAATTATTTCCCATGTAAGTACTTTTTCAGCACTTTACAAAACCATGCTAGAAATTGATATGTCCTCAAACAATGAGTGGTGTGTGCGTGACTTTAAAAATAAGGGTTTAAATGTTGCACCTGAATTAAAGGAATAGAAACACACGTGACTTACCAGAGTCGCTCTCAGAGCTGCTCTCGGAACTGCTGTCCTCATCTAAATGAAAACACAGGCCATGGGACACAACGAATAAAAAGCAGGAACTACTGTAATTATACACATTGGAAAAGAAATCCAAACTCAACTGATTTCTTCCTTCAGTCAATTCTCAAATCCAAAACTAGTCTGGTTCACATAAAGGGGGGCTTATTCTCCTTTGGAAATGGGCAAAATAAACTTTAACCATTTAAATGTGAGCTCAGCTCTCACTCCGGCTGTGATCATTTTATATGGGTGTCACCCAAGCCCTGCCCGGCCTTGACCTTCCCTACTGCTCCCATCTTGCCCCTGCACTTGGGCATCTAGAAGGTTCCCAGGCACAAGTTCAATGATACGACAGTGCAGGATTCTGGAATGTAGATACCATTTCATGGAAGCACACGTTGTTCAACTACTACTGAAAAGAATGCTCCCTTCACTTCCTCACCCCCAGCTCAGCACCTCTGCCCACTGCAATCAAGCTTCTGTTTCTACAACTACTTTGGCATCTTTTATTTCCCCAATGGCCTGCTCAACCCCAGGCCCATGGCATCCAGAGGGAAAGACACCACCCACTTTCCCCTGCCCACATGACCCTCCCATGGAGCCTGTCCTGGCTCTCCTCCAACCTCTCTGAGTGCCCTCCACGTGCCTCCAGGCTCCTCTCCACCCCCCACCCCCCACTACTACTGTCCCACTCCCACTCCCAGCCTCTTTTCCAGTTATCTGACCTTCTTCATTCTCTGGAAGCAGCACTGTACACTTTCCCACATCAGGGCCTTTACACCTGCACGTCTCTTGTACTAAGGCAACTTTTCCCCACCTTTGTCCTGTTACTCCAATTTATCACTCCTCTGGGAAGCCTCCCAGGACTACCCCAGCCAAGTGTCTACCACCTTGCTTGGCTCACAGAGGACCCTGTATTAGATTAGTGTGGCCAGTCTAAAAATGACCTAATTGCCTAAGCACAGCATTATCATCAAACTTTAAAGTAACTGATTTCACGAGAATAGGTAATCACAGAACTTTAAAATTTATTCAACTCTTTCAAGTAAAAAGATGAAAATCCCTACCTTTCACTCACATTGTTTGAAGTGATTCAGAAAAATCAACTGTAATTTATCTTGCTATGAATAGGTTATTTTATAAATATTTCACTTGGGAATTTACTAGTATTTACCCTTACCTGATTTAGATTCCTTTGAAGTGTCTAAGTTGGGGCTAGGGCAATCTAAATTTTGAGAAAGAAAGAAATGTTTAAGAGTTTAAATACAAGCATAAAATAAAATATTATATTCTTTTCTGTTAAAAGCCACTAAGCCAATAGAAGCACCCTCTACTAAAAAATTGAATCACCTCTTTAGACCCACAGCAGCCCTGCATGTCAAACTAATGCAAATGATGCCATATTCACAGGGGTTAAAAGATTTAGACCAAGAAAGCTTAAGCATTTTCCAGTAGAGGGAGAACAGAAAGCCAACAAACTTGAGATTTACTTGGTTGGTTCCTTGATAACCTGTGAATTTTTGTGCCAAAGTAGCTGCATTGCTTCTCTGATCAGTTCAGTAGCTCCCTAAAAACATCCCTGGCAATTAAGTAACTTGACACCAGAAAAAAAAGCAGGGAAAAAAAGCACCTAGTTTTAGATTTTGTAACTGAAGGGAAGACAACGGTGTTCCTATACCAAGGAATCAACATTCTTCCCCAGGCAAATGACTGTCAACAATTTAGTGAAGTGTCACAAATAGGTTGAAGCTAAGGCTCTGAAGTTGGCAGGAGACATTGAGACCAGACCAGGGAAGGCCTTGACTGCAATTAGGAAGAATTGGCATCCCTGATGGTTCTCCTGCAGGGGATGACATGGCGACACAGATGACATAAGAGCTTCAAACTGGCCCTGGTGGTACCCCGAGATGTTGGTGGCTACTGGAGGGTTAATGTTTAGGATGGATTAGACTCCAGAGCCTCACACTAGGAGGCCACTGCAGAGATTCAGATCTGAAGTAACGGGAGTCTAGACCAGCATGAGTGGGCATGGGAATGAAGAAATTACAGATGGGGGAGGAAAAGGGGGTGGCAGAAGTTACCTCCAATGTGAAATAAAGCAAGAACATTCCTGTGTGGGGAAGGACTGCTCCTTAGTTACCATGCCCGTGTCTGTATTGATGCTATGCTCAATTAGACAGCCCCAGCAATCTTCCATTTCCCCTGTACCTGGAACAGGCATCCACACGGGGCTGATGAACGGCAGGGGCTTAATTACTGTTGACCAATTCCCCTGGGCTTGGGCAGAGACCACTGTCCCCCAATTTTATAAACACTGACTTAATGTCCACTGGGTGATGGGCACTCTGCAGAAATGAGGGAAAACGCCATGCCCCAGAAAACAGCTTATGGGTTAATGCAGCTGGGAGGGCAGGAGTAGCTGTGTTAGACAAACTACAGCAAGAAATCACAACAATACAGTACGAAATTAGGCCAGTATTTTGCTGGCCCAAGAGAGAAATGGAGACCAGTCACTGAAGAAGAGGGATTCAGCACAAGTTCATGAATCTGGTTGAGCTGAAACAAGTCTTGGAGACCAAATGTGAGGGCAGGGAGAGGCATCTCAGGCAGATAGAAACAGGGGCAAAAGCAACGCAGGCGGAAGGTTCAGGTCAGCACTCGAAGCAGGAGAGCCCACCAGGTCTGACCACAGCCTTGACAGATGCCTGGCATCCTCATGCACTGCACATTCCAGCCAAATGTTACAGAAACCTTTATTATATTGTAATCATAATACTTCTATTGGGCAGGTTATTGTTCTGAACTGAAAAAAAAAAAGGAACCACAAGAGGGATACAGAACTTGCAAAACTAAGAAAGTAGCCCAAGGATGGGCTGAGGACTTTCCAAGTCAGTCTGCGGTCAAGTGACACAGACGACCCCTCAAGTGGCCTCGGGACCATCCTCCAGAATGGCTCTCAGCCACACAGCATGGGACAAAGAACAGGCCAAAGCAAGAAACAGAGCCCCACACACGTTCTATAGACTTTCCAACAAGCAGCACAGGTCAAAAAGTAAACCTGACCCTGAGCAGTCCCACACCAAACCCAGGTGCAGACTTAGTTTATCCCTTCAGTAAGAGAGCTCTTATCTGAACGAGATTCAGGGAAGAACTGTGCTGCTGTTTCCATCAAGTGTATAAAACTGACGATCACACCCAACTAGTAAACACCTAGTTGTCATACATGGAAAATTATAGACTTCAGTTGATAATACTTCACTAAACTTACTTTACTGAATTTAAAATAAAGTTAAAAACAACATTAGTCCCAGAATTTAAAAGGAGATGAAAGTTGTGAAAAGCTACAAAGGCCCAAACTCTTTACATTTCACCTTTTTAAATATCTGTTGAAAAATAATCTTAAAATTCTAAAAAAAGACATATCCTGTCATCCTATCCTAATGATTATTTTAATGCATTTCTATAAGTCAGTGAATGCATGACAGTAACAAAGCGATTGCAGCCAGTAAGTGAAACTAATAAAGAAGTCATTTTCTAAAACTGCTAATGTTTCCGTTTTTCGGTAACTCTGGCTTAGAGCACCATACCTTTTTCTTCTGGAGAGGCACTGTGACCATCACTAGAATAAGAAAAGAAAAACAGTTTTAGAAACCGATACCAATTTTATACACAATTGTGAAAACCTTCAAAATGATCACTGTATTATGTTTTTCCAGAAATGCTGCAGACTAAAGCACTCTCTCCCCTTCAATCTTCCTCCTGCCCCTCAGTCTCCACGGCCTGGCTCCAAACCACACAGACACAGGGAGCTTATCAAGTGCGCCCTTGAACTCCTTGTCCTGGTATACCCACAGGAGCTAGCACACCTTCCCAGGTTCACAGCACGGCCACGGCCACGCCCAGCCATCGGCCTCCCCTGGTCATTCTCCTGTAAGTAACACCATCCTAACCGCCCATCCTGCACCGCCTCCAGCCCCTCCACCTGGCTCCCTCTGAGAGCCTCTCCCAGGTCCCTCTCCTCTCCCAGGTCTAACCACCCTGCTTCTCTGGCCTCTCCCCTCAGAATCAGCATGCCTGAGAAACGACGGGCTCAGAGGCCCTTCATTTTAACTAAGAGGTCCCTGCCCTGCCCCACGCTCCATCCTCACCACTGCCTGAGCTCTCTGCCCTCCTCCAGTCTGTTCACAAAGGAGCTTAGCCTCCACATTCGCACTCTCCACTCTCTCCTAGATTCAAAGCCATCTGGCTCCTGCTCTCCTGTGTGACCGAAACCATTCTAGCTAGAGCCACCAATGACTCCTGCCTGGCAGACCCAATGGGCTTAGTGATCTCTTTCTCTTTAGATGAAGCAGATGACAATCTCCTCCATGGCTTTCAGGACCCTCACCTGGTCTGCTCCCGCCTCCTGCCCCCCTGTCTCAGGGGCCTCTCCTCTCTCCACGAGCTCCATCTCCTGGCTCCATCTGCTCCAGCGTCCTGGGGACTGACACCCAAAATCACACGGTGCACCCTCCTCTTACTGCTCCTCACTGCCTCGGTGCTCGCCCTCACGCCAAGGCTTCAGATCCCAAATCTTTACCTCCTTCTCAGGCCTCTTCCCTGAGTTCCATGTGCCTGGGACCTGGCGGTCACTGAGCCTCTCCTGCACACGTCTCATAACCGGCCCCTCCTCAACATACAGTTTCTGCCTCAGTTCAAGAGCTTTCTCTCTCTCTCTCTCACTGGCTCTCATCTGGTTGGCTGATATAATTTCTTTCTAATTATCATACCTGCCTGCAGTCTCTCCCGTGGCTCATCCCTCATGTGACCATCAGCATTTTATAACCGTGGCTTTGCATAAACCCTTCTGTGGCTTCTCACTGCCTCCTAAGTCTGCTGGCATGGCACACAAGGACCTCCACACCGCTCCCTTGTCTCCCACCCTGCCTGCTGCCTCAGAGTGAAAGATCTTCAGTGTCCCAAGCACACCCTACATATCGCACACTCTCACACACACACCACTCTCTGTGAAGCCCCCCAGGGTCACTGCCTGTGGCCTTGTCGGTTATGTACCCCAACTCTGGGTTCTCCATGGATGTGTACAATGATGTAGGGGTACCCCCTGGAGTTGTGAGTTGTGTGTGCATGGTGACAGCCCTATCCTCCCCCTTAATGCCCAAACTCCTACTTATCCGTAAAGAACAGCACTGCTCAAGGTGTGGTCCGAGGACCATTAAAACTCTATCAGATACCCACTAAAAATAGTTTTTCTGGTCCACTGAACCAGAATCTTTGAGTAAATGAAAAGGCAGAAAGAAAACAATGGTGTTATCTGTACTTATGGGTGTTGAAAATCTTTATTTTCTCATTTAATCATCCCTCTAGCCTATGAAGACTATTTTACAAATGCAGAGGCTAAGGCCTAAAGAGGTTAATTTAGTTCCTCAAGGTCACACAGCTAATAAATAAGAAAAGGAGTCACGTGGCCCCATTATGACGTCCATTATGACGTCAAAGTCCAGGTACTTGCCAGGTACCATGCATTTCCTCACTCTCTACTGCTTCACCCCCAAATCCCAATTGTTTTCTCAGTTTAGTAAAAGTAAACTGAGGAAGAAAACAGCAAAAAGAGTACTTGCTGTTTCTCTTCTCTGTCCACGTTAGTGGGAACCCCCAGATTTTGTAAGCCTCCTTGACTCAAGATTTTATACTGGTAAACTTTCCCAGCTTATGGTATTTCCCAAGTTCTATGATTTTATGAAATACCTGTATTCTCATTTTCAGACCTAAATCCTCTTGTTTTTTAATCCTAAACTCCTGCTCAAAAGGTCAGAGAGTGGCGGAGAACCCAAAATTGGGAAATGCTTCAAGAAACTAAAAAAGGCAAAAATATGGTTCCCAATGAAATGCATAAGAGAGCAAGCCAAGCGTTACATCTTTTTTCCTCTGGATTTGAACCTGTCATAATGCAGCCACTGTGCCTTTCAATTTTAAAATAATTATGAGAACATGGAATTAGAGCCATTCTTATTTTACAAAATATGTCTGCTTAAAATCCGCTCCTGTGTCCTCAATGACAAAAGCACATTTTCCCCTTAACTGGCACTTTCATAATCCCCTTTCTGCAGCTGCTTATCTCTATTTCCAGACGTGTATACATCTGCTTAGATATTAGACCTCCTGCTAAAACCCAGAAACCTCTGTATAAAACCTTTATTCTCTCCATGAAGTAGGTGATAGTAAGTGGTGTCCAAGACAAGATTAGTGAGGCTGCGGGGCAGAAGGCCAACTCTCTGCACAAAACACCTGACAGTTTAGGAGGATGGGAGACAGGCTTAGACCTGAGGAAGAGCCCACCCACAAGACAGCCGCTCTGCCCCTTGCACGGCCAGATGGAGGAAGCAGACCCTGCAGGACCCCCAGGGTCCTTGCCGTTCCATGGATGCTAGATCCCCACACTCTCTTCCTTTCTGTTTTTCCCATGTGGCCTGTTATAAGGAAAAACAGAGTAGCCCTGGAGAGAGAGCACCCATTCCAGATGCTCACAGTGTAATTTAGGGACTAGAGATCAGTAGGGAAGGGGCATGGACATTTACTTAATAGCACTTAAAACTCCTTAATTTTGATCAGGACTCAATCACTATTACTAGGTATAATTCTATGCCTATCAGCTTCCAGGCCCCACCTTATTACATCTTTCCCTTAGTAGAAGGTGGGCGATGGGGGAGAGGGGATCCTACACCTTGGAACAGTAAAATCTCTGAGGTACAATGGGATTTAAAGAACAGGCTTAAGACTTTAAGGGGGTAATATTAAATGAGGGTATTTATTGCATGTTTGTTGAAAAAAACACATGGATTATATTAAAATAGGTGCCAATGAGTAAAACAACAAAATTGTGGTTGGAATTAAGTCATGGCTACAGCAAGATGAAACCTAGAGCAAAACCAAATCCTCGCGTAGGTACCATATGTCAGCACTTTCAAAGCCCTTTCAAACCACGAATGCACCAGCTCCTCCCAGTAACTGCCGGGAACACAGGGCAAGCACTGCCGTCCCCATTGCAGAGGACACCGAAGCTCAGAGGTGTTAAAACAACTGGCCAAACCCACACAGGCTGGTGAAGCAGGGAGCTGGACCGAGGATTCAGACACTCTGACCTCTGAGGGAGCCTCTTCTCCCATCTCGGTGCCCGGCTTAACTTTGTGCAGCCTACACAGATTGGTATCAGTGTCAGAACAGGTGCACTCAAACCTGGCTCAGTAACTAACGATTCCCCAGTTACAGATGTGTTTTTTATTTTTTTAAATATATCTTTATTGATTTCAGTAAGAGGGAGGGAGAGGGAGAGAGAGAGAGAAACATCAATGATGAGAGAGTCGTCATTGACCGGCTGCCTCCTGCACACACCGGACTGGGGATCGAGCCCGCAACCCGGGCATGTGCCCTGACTGGGAGTCGGACCGCGATCTACTGGATCCTAGGTCGATGCTTAACCGTTGAGCCACACCCAGCCAGGCCCTGGTTAAAGATTTCTAACAATGCTTTAAGTGAAAATAAAACTGTAATATGATCATAGCTAATATTTACTTAACATTTACTGTGTGTCTGAAACTAAGCCAAGGACTTGGCTTGTGTGGATTAGCTCATCACAACCACCTTTCTAGTGCCTGGCAGTGAACCACTACTATGCCCATTTTACAGATGAGGAAATAAGGACCAAAATTTCTTGGGGAACATATCTAAGAACCCTGCTCCATCTGATTGCAATGCCCAAAGCTTTCACCAGTACGTTTTGTAAGAGAAAAACACTTACCAGTCTCTCTTCCTAAAGCTCCTACTGCCTGTGAAGGTAATTCTCAAGTACAGTTACATTACAGTAACTAATACAAAGTTTTCAAGCATAATTAAATCCACAATGAGCCCCAAACCTCATCTAACTAACTTTTCACTAGAAGTAAACCAAGTAGAATTTTACTTCATTTAGGCCTTATACACCTTCTAGGAAATACGACATAAGAAATAAATGGGTTAAAGAAAGTGGAAAAGAGTTTATATTAGTCACAAACTAGAGTTAACCTGTATCATCACCAAGTAGCTATAGTCCCCAGAGCATAATAGCAATGAAAGTAACATTCTCTATAATGCGGATCTCTTTTACCAAATTAGCAAACACCTAACTATTTACCATTTAACGGGTGCTATTCTAGGCAGAGGGGGATACAAAACACATGACACATGAACCGTGTCCCCAAGAGGCACATTCATGGAAGACAAATCAGAAAATAAATGTGTATGATCCTGGAAAAGCAAAATAAAAACAAATGTAAGCTATAACGTTAGCTCAGAATAGGCTACGATGAACTGGGAAGAACTGAGCTCTTCTGTTAAGAACAAAGGCAGGTAACTAACTACAAGGTCAGTGAAACGATGATGCTACGGCCATAGTGCATTTTTCAAGTGCAACCGTTCCCCAAAAAGGACGCTTTGTCAGAAAAAGCTGAAACCAAAAGGAACCTACAAGATCTTCCAGGTCTAATTACTTTAGACGGGGAGATGGGACTCTAGGAGTGACCCAGTGAATATATACCCAAGATCACCTAGCAAGTTATAAGCAGAGACAATCTTACAACTCGTCACAGCCTCCTGGCTCACACATCAATTCACTCATTTGACAGACACGTTTGGGTTGTGTGTTAGGCCCAGTAAACAAAGCGAACGGGTCTGCGCCTTTGAGAAACCATATGCCTGATGGGGAAAGGTCTTCGTGTATCAGAAACAAGAAGTACTTTGAGAGAAGACAAGAGCGCTTGTGTACGATTGAGGAATTGAGGAGGGCTCCAGGGGAACTGACATTTAAGCTGAGCCACAGAGAACAAGCAGGAATGGACAAGAGGGGAAGAACTGGCGGGGGAGGGGGTGGGGGGG